CACTGTGTGGTGAAATGCTGCTCTTTATCTGACTTGGAGAACAGTGAGCTGCAGACACAGCTGCACTCGGGAACCATATGGGGGTTTAACCCCCCCAATCCAACCCCTTAATGCTGAGTTTCAAGCAGGGAGGCATTGGGTCCCATTTTTAAAGTCTTTGGTGTGACCCAACTGGGGTTTGAACCCTGGTCTCCCAGTTCCAGGGCAGACACCACTAAGCCACAGAGCTGGCAACAGTAGGATAACCACTGATTCCATGCAAATATAGTACACCAAAGCCACAATTCACATAGGATCACCAGAACTGGACCAGGAGAGACTGGAAAACCCTGTCCTGGTCTGATGAGTCTGGAGTTCCGCTGCAACATTCAGATGGCCGTGTCAGAATCTGGTGTCACCAGCGTGAAAGCATTGATCCATCCTTGTATTAATGCTTCAGGCTGCTGGTGTAATTGTGGTTACGTTCTTGTCCCATTTGTGACCCCTTAGTACCACCATAGCCTGGTTTAAACACACAGCCTACCTGAGGCTTGTTTCTGATCACGTCCATCCCTTTAGGACCACATGGAATCTTCTGATGGCTACTTCCAGCGGGATAAAGCACAATGCCACAAAGCTCAGATAGTGTCCAATAATTAAAACGGTTCTGATGGCAAAAGAGGGTTTAATCTAGTACTGGCAAGATGTACATAATAAAGTGGCGAATGCATTCAAGACATTCCTTTATTTGTCTGTCCAGAATCTCTTTGATGATGAGCTGAATGCTGTCAGGTTACCCACTGTGTTTATTTGCATGGTGATGATTTAATTAGCACATTGCCCTGGACATCGTGCCTGTTTGACTTTGTGTCTGACATTGAATTGGTGTTAGACAACCGCTCTGAGGCATGTGATGAGTATGGAGTCTAGACCCTGGGCGACACAACATATGATATTGATTATCTTTTGTTTGGCTATCTCTCCAGCTCCTTGCCCTAAAGGACTTAACTCCCCATTATTGTCTGGCATGAGGTTCTATTATTCCAATTTAGCAAGCCCTCCATCCGGCGATAAATGCACCATTGTCCAAATGTGTTCCTGAAGTCTCGTAAGATGGAAACAAAACGTATCACTTCACTTTGTTTGCAAGATTTGAACAAAGCAAAACTTTTCTGGAGGGATGCCCTTGTATCAGATTAGCTTTGATCTAATTGCACATTTCCATGTACAGAATGGGATATTTCAACTATTTGTGGAAAATATGACAGTTTAATTCCATTTGTTTTAGATTTATTACATAAGGGTTACAAAATGTCGTGTTCTGTGTGGGTTAAATGAGTGTTAAGGAGAATACTTCGTAAATGTATTTAGTTACAGAATACTAAATACCTGCTTTAAAAAGTATTTTGTAACATATTCAGTTACTTGGCTTAATCCTGGTACTGTATTCTAAATACTTGGAAAACTTCCCCTTAAAATCAGCATTTAAGTCTATTAAATACCACAATGTGCGATGGTAGCTACTCCCGCAGGAAAACAGAGGACATGTTTATGCTAAGGAATATGAACTGATTGGGAAAATAAAACAATTTAAATATTTTTTGTCACTTTATTTATCAAAGTGTCAACAGATTCTGCAAATTCTTCATGTTGCTAATTACTTTTGATTTGCAGTCGACATGATTATTGAGCTCACCAGGAATAATTGGTATCATTTTTGAGTCATTTGCAAACAAAGTGCTACTAGTTCCCATTCACTCCATTTTTGTAATGCTAGGCAAAAGCAAATGGACTGCTGCCGGATCAGGATAATTACTGCGCTGGTCACAAAATGCTTTTTTCTCACTTATCTAACTCTGGGGACTGTGATAACAGATACATTTTCACTTTGGGGTGGAATATCCCTTTAAGGTGTTTCTTCACATTAGGTGTTGAGTCTTAGGACGCAGCTAGTAGGTTGTTAGCTGGGAGACAAAGATTGCACTGCACTGTCTGATTTTGCGCACCTCGCTCCTTTTCTAGAGTGAAAAACTGCTAGAATTTCCAGGAAGTGAATGCAGTTTTTCTTATACTGCTAGTAGGTTGATTTGGCAGCGGTTGTGGCTCCACCTACTCCACCTCCTCGTCTGAATGCATACCTGGCCACTCATGCTAACGCTGGTGCTTGCTAGTCGGAGGTGTAGCCTTCTCATGGCTTCATCCATAGCGTTACTACGGTTACAGAGGCACATTGATTAGGGGCATTATGGGATAGATGACCTACACAACGCAGAGACACACGTTGCCCGAAATGTATTTATTTATCTTTCGACTGAAAAGTGGAAAACGTATTCCAATGGTATTTAGAAAGTAACGACTCTAAATACCATGTTTTAAAATAGTTATTGTAACTGAGTACATTTACTCATCTTCTAAATACTGTATTCTAACTAATTTTATTTAGTTACTCCCAAACACTGTAGGTAAATGAGTGTTTTCTTTATTTGGTAAAAATGGTCTGATGATGGTGAGACGGCTATGAAATCAGGTGACCTGTTTTTGTTGAAATACCTTTGGTTGTGACTAAAGTCTCACACATACAGTAGTGAATACATCTGTCAGAGGTAAATTTCAAGAATGCTTTCTCAACTTGAAACTGAGCTCTGATACTTGTTATGTTGTGGCAGAGCCTGTAGAGATGGTGACACCATTAGACTTTTAAAGATAATCACTTCGGCGCTCTGAGGCAGCAACAATGGAATAAAAGATGAACCAGTTAGACTCTGAAGAACTCTGGAAGTGACCACAGTCCTCTAACACATCTTAAAAGCAGAGGCGGTTTTACCATTAGGCATAGGTAGGCGGCCGCCTGGGGCCCCCTTGTGTTGGGGGGCCTCCTAGCCCTGACCGCCGGCACCCCTCTGTTAATGCCACAATATTCTTATTACCAACCTGTCGCCGCAGACGGGATTGGACATGCTTCTCATTACCATAATTCCTGAAACGTTCAAGATATCATTAAAATTCCAAAAGTGCTGAAAAGATTAAAAATGGGGCTTTTCGGGCATATACAATACATTACGGTAGCCACCGGGATTCCCTGTCTTGAGCGCAACAAATCAAAACACAGATTCAGAGACGTGCTGAGTTTGTCATCCAAAATGCTCCGTTTTATAACTTTTGAATGGCTGATCAGATTCAAAAATTCCAACGGTTCCTAAAAGTACATAAAAGCAGCTTTCCAATGATCTATAGCATGAAGCAATCAGAGTTAGGGAAAATCCTGCTGTACAGCCTGATTGAAACAGAGCGCCGCGCCACGGTGAAAGAGGAGAACAGAACGGGGAAGCTAATTAGCATAAAAAGCTGGCATGAAATTATGGAAATGCCTCAAAGAAAATCAACACAATCTATTAGGCATCCCAGAAGGCTTATATCTGAAGACAGTGACCACGAAGGACAGATCTCCGGTGAACCAGGGTATGAATGTTTGTTCAGTCTTTTTTTATTTATTTGAACAACCCTCAACTATTTGCTAATTGTTAGATTCAGCTTCATTCCAGCATTATTTATCTTTTTACAATAAATAATTATTTTTGCTAAAACAAAAGTTTTTGGTATATCAGTGCACGGTGTGCCAGAGAAGCACCCCATGGCAGTGTGAGGTGTGCAGGACTCTGCCTGCAGCTGGAGAGAAACTGCTTCAAGGTCTACCACATCAAATAAAAACATCTGAAAGTTTACAAAAATAAATGGTCCTAAAAACAGCTAAAAAAGATACCAAGGTTCAAACTTTTTTAAGAATAGATGCATTACAGTTCAAAGTTTAAATTGTTCATTCCAAATTGTTCGCCCAGTCATTTTGAAGTTCCTGTTCAGTAATAAATGTAAAAAAAATTCAAATCCGTTTTTTGCTTTTTTCCACTTTTAAGCTGATTTTTTAAAGGCTTTAATAGAAATAAATTCTAAATACAAACCATACACTGAAAGCTGAGGTTGATCTGAAAAAAGGAGAAGAGCTACACACACTTTGCACTTTTTATTACAATTTTACAGCCATAAGATAAAAAAATACCAGGCTGCAATGTTATAATTATGGTCATAAGAGGGTCATTAAGACGGGCGATGCACAAACAGGAAGTGATTGGTAGTTGGTGGCGGTAATGTACCAAATGGTTGTTTGCCAAGTGCCATAAGACCACAAATAAGAAGAAGAAGAGGAGAGGCGGCAGCGTTCGTAACAAACTCAAAGCGATAGTCAAAACATTAAGCATGACATGGAGTTATCCTAGTGGCTCCAATAAGAGAAAGAAGCAGCTTGCTTCATAAAAGCTTTTATTTTCACTTCTGAAAGTGACGTCGTATCTCGATGTAAACATCAAAAGGAAGCAGAAAGGAAAGTCAATGGAAAATGTTTAAAGGGAGGAAAACATAAACCAAAATGGAAAATAGAAAAAAAAAATAACTAAGGCTAAAGCACAGGAGCACTGACAGGAAAAAGAAAGCAGAGCAAATATTGAAAGCACTCAAAAGGGGGGAAATGCAGGAAAAGGGAAAATAACTCATGTAAGAAGAGGGGAGAGTTTCGCAAATCCAGTTAAAGGTAAGATTGTTGAAAATTTTGTGTAAGGGGGCCCATGTCTGTGTTCGCCTTGGGCCCCCAAATTGCTAAACCCGCCTCTGCTTAAAAGCTGTTTTGGAAAGAACATGCTTCTTGCTTAGAGTAGCGGCTCGTCAATAGGGGGCGTTACGATGCCACCCCACCAGTCTCACAGGAAGAAGAAGATAGGAATCACAAAATATAAAACAAAACATCATACAGATCTATACATCATACAGAATAAAAGTGCTGTGTATATGCTGCATTTAAGTGTAGTTTTAAAATGTTATTACTATCACCACAATCAAATTGTCTTGTGATGCATTTTCTGTTACTTTCAGGTGCAGCAATCTCTACAATAGACGCATGCTATAATTGGCGCATGTCATGTTGTGGTGAAGAAATCTAACCCACGACATACAGAATCAGATCTGAGACGGTGTAAAATGTTTAAATAAGGATTTATTAAAAGGGAAACCAAGGAAGCAGCGTAAACGTAGCTGAGTTCTTGCACAAGGAAGCTGGTGCGGGAAATCTGTGGACAGATCGGAGTTAGATCCAATTTGCGGAGGGAACAAGGAATCAGACTTGTGCGGAGGACTTACGGTCTGGAAAGGAAGGAACTGGTTTGAGGGAGGAGTGGTCCGGTCTGGGTTGAGAGGCTTTGCAGGGGCTGAGATCCAAGAAGTGAGACGTGGAGGGAGCTGAGCTTGTGGAGGTCCAGGAAGTTTAGGTGGGCAGCTGGAGGGGGTTCTGGCAGGGCTGGACTGGGACAAAAATTCAGCCCGGGCATTTTGATTGGAGACCGGCCCATCACCTGGTTTTTTTGGAAAAGACATTAAGCCTTACGCTGTTTCTGACACACACCAACGTACACTTTCTTATTGGTAATATTTATGTATCAATCTAATAAACGTAAACCTACACCATCCTTCCTATCCTGGTATTCTAAAAAAGTAGGGTTGGGGGTAAATGATTATTTTTAAAATTATTATTCTGACGATTATTTTATCGAATAGTCAACTATTCTAATGACTATTTAGATGATTAATCTAGCGATTATTTTTCTATTGCACAATTAATAAAAACCAAAAAATCTTAAATAAATTCCTCCAAAAAATTGATAAGTTGTTACTGTAAGAGAATAAACACTACAGGCCTTCCATTTTGTATAACACTGCTTTTATTGTGTTGCGGTTGTTTATGTTCTGGTGACGTGTAGAACTTGGGAGTGCAGGCTGCTGCCTGAGAGGTGGTTGGAGACGGAGTGTCTCCATGCTGCTTTGTTTTGGTCACTTATGTGCATGAGGCAAGTGGTGTTACGACCCTTCCTGGGGAGTCAAGTGTAAAGGGTTAAATTTACCTAAATATTGCCTTATTTATTATCTCTTGATGTTATTAGTCCCTATTTCTGTGGTTAATTGACAATAGTTTCCTGAAATGTTTCTCCTATTTTAACTGTAAATCCTTCTAGCTGTTATATTTATAACAAGAAACAGATATTCGGACGGAATATTTTCATGTTTATTCGAATATGATTGTGGAACACACCCAGCATCATAATAAATGAAGTAATGTTTATGCCAATTTAAGCCTTTATGGGTGACCAGGACACTGTGATCAATTTTTGGCAAGGGAAATGATCATTTGTTGCCATTTTTGAGGTGTTTATGAATGTGGAAGACACCCAGCATCCTGTGATGGCACTAATAACATCAAGAGATAATAAATAAGGTAATATTTAGGTAAATTTAACCCTTTACAGGTGACCAGGACTCTGTGATCAATTTTTGGCAAGGGAAATGATCATTTGTTGCCATTTTTGAGGTGTTTATGAATGTGGAAGACACCCAGCATCCTGTGATGGCACTAATAACATCAAGAGATAATAAAGTAATATTTAGGTAAATTTAACCCTTTATGGGTGACCAGGACACTGTGATCAATTTTTGGCAAGGGAAATGATCATTTGTTGCCATTTTTGAGGTGTTTATGAATGTGGAAGACACCCAGCATCCTGTGATGGCACTAATAACATCAAGAGATAATAAATAAGGTAATATTTAGGTAAATTTAACCCTTTACAGGTGACCAGGACTCTGTGATCAATTTTTGGCAAGGGAAATGATCATTTGTTGCCATTTTTGAGGTGTTTATGAATGTGGAAGACACCCTGCATCCTGTGATGGCACTAATAACATCAAGAGATAATAAAGTAATATTTAGGTAAATTTAACCCTTTACAGGTGAACAGGACACTGTAATGAATTTTTGGCAAGGGAAATGATCATTTGTTGCCATTTTTGAGGTGTTTATGAAGAGACCCAGCAACCTGTGATGGCACTAATGACATCAAGAGATAATAAATAAGGTAATATTTAGGTAAATGTAACCCTTTACAGGTGACCAGGACACTGTAATCAATTTTTGGCAAGGGAAATTATCTTTTTTTTTTTTTTTTTGTGCCATTTTTGTGGTGTTTATGATGATACAGTAGGCAGTATGAGTACAGTAACATCAACAGATAATACATAAAACCCTTATTTGGTCAATTTTAGCCTCCATGAAAATCTGAGCGATTCAATCACTTTTTGGCAAGTAAAATGCCATTTTAGTTGTCTACAATTAAATCATGAATAAAGAATTTAAAGATATTTTGAGGCGTTTCTTATAGGTAAACGGGAGGGTGTAGTCTATTTGGCAAGTGACCAATCTTAATTGTATGTGCTGAAGAGCTTTTATCTTGTTACTTTTAAATAGAGCAACGTAATGTTTAGCAACCTACACAGTGTCATTGTAAAGCCAAAGCTTGATCAGTTTAAATACTTTTTTTCAAGTAAAAATGTGCCCCAAACTAGTTAACTGTGGCTCCATGTCAAGTGGACTAAAGAAAGGAAGGGGAAAAAATTAAATCGCTGGAGAATTGTTTATTTACATTTATACAACGTTTACATTCAATACAGGGTGCCATTTTACATTATTTATTTTTTAGTATCAAGGCTGTAACATAAAGAAAGCCAGTTCTTACCACAAACCATCTTTCAATCGCAAATATTGCAAAAAGGATTAATATATCCTCATTGTGAACGTTTAAGACAATTAGCAACACTTAAAACAACTTCCGAACTGGAAAAACTAACGTGGCAAGGTGGATAAACGACGGCCCGGGTTGTATTCGATCCCTAGACTTTCGGGGTGAGAGTCATACGCTCTAACCAGTCAGCCAAAGGAACATCCCCTTGACCAAATATACAGGGTGCAAGATCAATCAAGACATTGTGACAGGATGCTCACACTGCCACCTCTTCCTCCCTCTTTCCACAAGCACGTCCTCGTGCTCCCGCGCAGGGTGCCACAAACACTGCCACACTAATATCCGCGATAAACATCTGTTTAAGTACCGGAAGAGGTTATCTTTGCTTTCTGAATGTCCATATTGCTAGATATGCTGAGTTTTAGGGCGAAATCCTGGGGAATTTTGTCTAGAAATGCAATTGCCTAACCGTGCGCGATCCCGCGGTGGCTAATCATTTTTTGGCAGCGAGTCAATTTATGGCACAACACCGGCTCGGGTTTCTCCTCCTCCTCCCTCTTTTCTTCTCCAACCTGTCGCTGGACTGAGGCTCCATCACTTCCTAAATTGATTTTACTTGAACCTTCACTACCAAACAACTGTGAGATTTTAACACATGTGCCAGCATCAGCCTGAAGGGCCAGTTTCTTTTTTAGTCGAATTTTCTCCGCTCCTCCTTTCCGTTTTTTGTTCTCCATTTTGTAAAGCTCGTCTGTCTGTTTACTGAGATTCACAAACAACTGGCGGGTGCATCAGACCTCTGGCTATTGGTCCAGCCCAGAGTGTATTATTACCAATTGGCCAATCCACCAACTTTTACGAGGCGTCGCGTGGGGCAGCGCGGACAAGTTGTCTGCAACAACTAGAGGCCAGAGGAAAAAAAAAAAACAGACACCGGCCCATAAAAGATGAAAGGGTCGGCCCAGCGGGCAGTTGCCCGCTATGCCCTATGGTCAGTCCAGCAGTGGGTTCTGGCCAGGGGAGAGGCTGAGAGACGTGCGGGGTTGGAGTTCCAGATGGTGCGGGCTCCAGAGTTCTGCCAGTCTGAGATGAGTGTGTAGGTTTGTCTGGGAACAAGAGCAAAAGGCAAAAATCCAAAACTCATTAAATTCTTAAACTCCAAATTCCAAAAACACAATCTAACTCTCAAAAGCTCGAATAAGATAAACTAGTGGCTGTTAGAAGGTACCCAGGTAGAGTAATCATCCAGCGAGGTGTAGAAGTCTCCCAGCTGCTTAAACACCCCTGGCCAGCTGATGAGCAGATCTGCTGCAGCTTGGTCAACCTCCAGACAAACCCACCTGCAGAGGGAAAAACTCAAAAGACAGGGAGTGACAGCAGGAATCCACCTCAGACCGTGACCCCTCCCCTCCCCCCCCTCAAGGGACGCCACCTGGCGGCCGAGCAGAGGAGGAGGAGGAGGAGGAGGAGGAGCGGGCCATCTCGAAGTCCCGGATTAGAGAGGGGTCATCGATCCATGACCTCGGGAGCCACTGCCGATGTTCCGGGCCATAACCCTCCCACTCGACCAGGTACTGGAAACCCCGGCCACGAGGTCGCACATCCAGAAGGCGCTGGACACAGTAACCGAGGCCCCCGCCAGCGAGACGCACAGGAGGCGGAGGGTCAACAGGAGGGCGCAGGGAACTGGAGATGACAGGCTTAAGGAGGGAGACATGAAAAACGGGGTGTATCTTCATGTGGGGCGGTAGATCCAAGCGGACGGAGGACGGGTTGATGACAGCAGAGATTGTGTAGGGACCGATGAATGTGGGGGAAAGTTTTCTGCAGTGGTCCTTTAATCTGATGTCCCTGGTAGAGAGCCAGATGCGCTGTCCAGGCGCATAGTCTGGGGCAGGACGCCGGTGCCGGTCGGCCAGACGCCGGTTGCGTTCTGCAGTCCTCTGTAGGGCCTGTTGCGTGGCCGCCCAAACCCGTCGGACCCCCTTCAGGAACCGAGGAACGGAGGAAACTGTGGAGGGAAACTCAGAGGGGAACAAACTGGGTTGAATACCTGTCAAGGCCTCGAAGGGGGATAGTCCGGTGGCGGAGGAGACATGGGCGTTATGGGCGTATTTGATCCATGGAAGGTGGGTACTCCAACTGGAAGGGCTAGAGGAACACAGACAACGGAGCATGGCTTCCACCTCCTGATTTAGTCTCTCGCATTGTCCGTTAGACTGCGGATGAAACCCAGATGTTTGCGCCACCTTAGCTCCTAAGCAGGTGACGAAGTCCCTCCACACCCTTGAGACAAACTGCGGGCCGCGGTTTGAAAGTATCTCCGCAGGGATGCCATGGAGCCTAAAAACATGCTTAACAAGCAGAGTGGCGGTGTCAGCAGCAGAAGGTAGAACCTTTAGCGGCACTAGGTGACAAGCCTTGTAAAAACGATCGATAATGGTCAAAATAACAGTAAAGCCTCGAGAAGGGGGAAGACCGGTGACAAAGTCTAGTGCAATGTGGGACCAGGGCCTGGAGGGAATAGGTAGTGGATGTAATAGTCCAAAAGGGGGTTGGTTACTCCCCTTGTTGCGGGCACAGGTTTGGCAGGCGGAAACGTACTCCTTGACATCCTTAAACATAGTTGGCCACCAGAAAGACCTCTGGATTAAGGCTACGGTACGACTGACACCAGGGTGGGCAGAGAATTTGGCGGTGTGGGCCCAGTTAATCACCTTATGTCTGACGGAAGGAGGAACAAACAGGATGCGGTTGGGTACCTGATTGGGACAGGGGTAGTTCTTTTGAGCCTCGAGCACCTGATCCCTTATCTCCCAGGTAACTGCTCCCAGGACACAATCTGGTGGTATGATGGTAGTGGGCTCGGGATCCGAATTCACCGAGAACTGTCGTGAGAGGGCGTCGGGCTTGATGTTCTTGTTGCCAGGTCTGTAAGAAATGATAAAGTGAAAACGAGAGAAGAACAGGGCTCACCTGGACTGATGTGGGTTGAGTCTCTTAGCTTCCTTGAGGTAGGAGAGATTTTTGTGATCCGTCCATATCACAATGGGGTGCTCAGCTCCCTCCAGCCAATGCCTCCACTCCTCCAAGGCGAGTTTCACAGCTAGGAGCTCGCAATCTCCCACATCGTAATTTTTCTCGGCAGGAGAGAGGCGCCGCGAGAAGAAGGCGCAGGGATGGAGGCGGTGATCAGTGGGGGAGGTCTGAGAAAGCACAGCCCCGACTCCAGTGTCTGAGGCGTCGACCTCGAGTGTAAACTGTCTTGCAGGGTCTGGACGGGTGAGAATTGGGGCCTGAATGAACCTCTCCTTTAAGTCACAGAAACTCCTGGAGGCTTCAGCATCCCAACTGAAAGGCCTCTTTACCGAGGTTAGTTGTGTTAAAGGGGCGGCTATCTGGCTGTACCCTTTAATAAACCGACGATAGAAATTTGCGAAACCCAAAAATCTCTGTAGCTGTTTGCTTGTGGAAGGAGTGGGCCAGTCCTTAACTGCCTGCACCTTTTCGGGGTCAGGTTCCAGCCTTCCACTCTCCAGTACGAAACCCAGAAACTTAACAGATGGGGCATGAAATTCACATTTCTCCGCCTTAACGTAGAGCCGATTCTCGAGCAGGCGTTGGAGAACGGCTCGGACATGACCAGTGTGTTCCTCGGGGGTCCTCGAAAAGATCAAAATGTCGTCCAGATATACTGTGACAAATTTGTTCAGATAGTCACTCAAAACAGTGTTAACCAGGTTCTGAAAAACGGCGGGTGCGTTCGTGAGGCCAAAAGGCATGACTAAATACTCAAAATGTCCTATTGGTGTTTTGAAAGCCGTCTTCCACTCATCTCCCTCTCTGATGCGAACCAGATGGTAAGCATATCTAAGATCCAGCTTAGTGAATATGGTCGCATCTTGTATGGGTTCAAATGTGGATGACAGTAAGGGTAATGGAAACTTGTTTCTTACGGTGATTTGGTTTAAGCCACGGTAGTCGATGCAAGGCCTCAGGGTGCCGTCCTTCTTGGAGACAAAGAAGAAGCCAGCACCCAGAGGAGAGGTGGAAGGCCGAATTATGCCGGATGCCAGGGACTCGGAGATGTACTTTTCCTTACATTCACGTTCAGGCTTGGAGATGCTGTAGAGACGGCTAGAGGGAAGAGGTGCTGCAGGGAGAAGATCTATAGCACAACCATAAGGGCGGTGAGGTGGTAATGAGGACGCTTTATGTTTAGAAAATACCTGCTGGAGGTCGTGATATTCAGGCGGAACCCCGGTGAGGTCGGGTGGTGTGGTCTTCAGGGCTCGAGGCTCGTAACTAGAATGGGCTGGTCCCAAACAGGTTAAATGACAGTTATTGCTCCACATCTCCACTTGGTTTGTGACCCAGTTAATACGGGGGTTATGGTTCTTAAGCCAGGGATGACCCAGGACCACAGGAGACTGAGGGGAAGGAAATACAAAAAAGGTGAGTTCTTCACTGTGGTTACCTGACGTCATAAGGCGAATGGGTGCCGTCTTATGAGTGATAGAAGTGAGGGAGCCCCCGTCCAGAGAGGATACACGGTAGGGTGTTTGAAGAGGGAAAGTGGTAACCAGGAGTTGCTCCACTAGCTGTTGGTCAAGAAGATTTAATTGACAGCCAGAGTCAATTAATGCGAGAGAGGGAAGAGTAATGTGATTATGTGACAGAGAACATTCCAGCAAACACCGAGAGTTTGAATCTGACCGATAACCTCCCACCAGTACTCTCGGGGCTACTGATGGGACCTGGAGTTTAACTGCTTGGGGCAGTTAGCCACAAAATGCCCAGACATGCCGCAATACAAACACGCTCCTGAACACATGCGCTTGTTTCTCTCCTCTTGGGTTAATTTAGTTCGACGAATCTGCATGGGTTCACTGGGGGGCGGAGCTGGAGCTGCTGGATTCACATTTTGCAGGCAGTTAAGACGAGAAGGTAATGGGAAGTTGTTACCTCTTTGGCGTGCCTTATGTCTCTTTTCCATCCGACTGCACAGTGCGATGAGACTCTCGAGATCAGGTGGTTCTTGGCAGAAAGCGAGTTGATCCTGAAGCTGCTCGTTAAGAGCCTGGGTGAACGCCCCCTTAAGTGAGGCTTCATCGAGGGTGGAAGTGGCGGCTAGGGTCCGAAACTCTATGGCAAAATCCGCGATTGAGAGCTTCCCTTGACGTAAGCTCCAAATCTGTCTGGCCACTTCAGCCGCTGACTCAGGTTTGTCAAAAGTCATTTTAAAATCTGCCAGAAACTCATCTAACGGACTCTTAAGGAAGTGCGGGTTCCGGCTCTTTGCCTCCGCCCACCGGAGTGCCTTACCTCGTAGAAGGCCGATGATGTAGGAGATCTTAATTTCATCGGTGTAAAAAGACTCCGGAGATCGCTGGAAAGCCAGCTGGCATTGGAGGAGAAAACCTCGACAAACCTCCCGGTTGCCATCAAACGTCTCCAGTGGAGGAGAGGTAGCGACCCGGAAGCTGGGAAGACTGGATGGTGCAGGAAGAACGGGTCCGGGCAGACTCTGAGCGGGGGATGAGGCTTGCTCCGGGGAGGTGAGTCTGTGGCTTAATTCCTTTACCATCGTTCCTACTTCAAACAAGGTGTGGTTAGTGTGGGAGAGTTGATCGGACAGAGCTTGGAGTGAATTACTGTGCTGAGCTAGGGTGGCGGAAACGACAGAGGGAACTGATTCTGTACTGAGGTTAGAGGAATGGCTGGATGATTCTGTCATGTTGTGGTGAAGAAATCTAACCCACGACATACAGAATCAGATCTGAGACGGTGTAAAATGTTTAAATAAGGATTTATTAAAAGGGAAACCAAGGAAGCAGCGTAAACGTAGCTGAGTTCTTGCACAAGGAAGCTGGTGCGGGAAATCTGTGGACAGATCGGAGTTAGATCCAATTTGCGGAGGGAACAAGGAATCAGACTTGTGCGGAGGACTTACGGTCTGGAGAGGAGGGAACTGGTTTGAGGGAGGAGTGGTCCGGTCTGGGTTGAGAGGCTTTGCAGGGGCTGAGATCCAAGAAGTGAGACGTGGAGGGAGCTGAGCTTGTGGAGGTCCAGGAAGTTTAGGTGGGCAGCTGGAGGGGGTTCTGGCCAGGGGAGAGGCTGAGAGACGTGCGGTTGGAGTTCCAGATGGTGTGGGCTCCAGAGTTCTGCCAGTCTGAGATGAGTGTGTAGGTTTGTCTGGGAACAAGAGCAGGAGGTCAAAAGGCAAAAATCCAAAACTCATTAAATTCTTAAACTCCAAATTCCAAAAACACAATCTAACTCTCAAAAGCTCGAATAAGATAAACTAGTGGCTGTTAGAAGGTACCCAGGTAGAGTAATCATCCAGCGAGGTGTAGAAGTCTCCCAGCTGCTTAAACACCCCTGGCCAGCTGATGAGCAGATCTGCTGCAGCTTGGTCAACCTCCAGACAAACCCACCTGCAGAGGGAAAAACTCAAAAGACAGGGAGTGACAGCAGGAATCCACCTCAGACCGTGACAGCGCATGTGCGCTGGATCCCTCCAATACAAAGAATATGAGAGCCTTTGGTCGCAGAGGGTTGTGACCGAAACCGGGTGGATCAGATCAGGATGTTCACCTGGAACCAGACGCTCTCAACAGTTCACCACCCATTTTTTTAGCTCGCCTTCCTTTGTCTGTTTTTGAGCAGCTGAGGACACCTTGTGGAGTTTTTTTTTATTATGAACCGTAAAATGATGGAATGTGGTGTCTAGACTGTAAACAATCTACATAATAATGGTAATTTGGCACCCTCTAGTGGTGAGATGTGGTTAGTACATCTAACATTTACAGACAGCATAAATGTGCTAGCCTGGCCTGCCAGACTCCTCCTCTCTTAATTCTGCATGGAGAAAGGGTCTGAGAACTCTCCTATTCAAATAACCCCACCCCCTGAGAATCCTAACCGAGCCAATCAGCGCTGAGTGACGTACGTAACACACCATAACGCCGAGTTTGTCATAAACATGGCGACTGAAGCGGAGTTCGCTGCGGCTCTTTCCTCTGGTCTAAATGACTTGAATGTCTTTAAAACAACAAGTAGAAGAGCTAAAAGCCTTTCCTTTAAAGAAAGATGTTTGCGCTGTCGCCAGACGCCATTTTTGACTACAGCTGAAAAGCTACAGCATCGCGGACGTCACACACAGTGAAGCTCAGTTTCTCATAAACAACTTAGACATCAACGGAGTTCGCTGCGGCTCTTTTCTCTGTTCTAAATAAGTTGAATGTCTTTAAAACCACAACAAGTAGAAGTGCTAAAAGCATTTTTTCTAAAAAAAAACTAATAGATGTATATATATATATATATATATATATATATATATATATATATATATATACATATATATAAGACAGATGAGATAGCATTTACTATCCAGTTGTTCCCAAGCTGAGGTCCGTGACCCCCAAAGGGGTCCCCACATTTTTATCTGTGCTGAGGTTGGATAGTATTTCTAAAAATTACATTTATAAAACCCCAATGTTAGAATCAAAACTCGGTGTAAGTTATAATTGTGTATGTCTGTTTAATAATAATTCACTTTTTACTGGGTGTATTGGGTAGGAGTTGGAGTGTGTGTGTGTGTGTGTGTGTGTGTGGGGGGGGGGGGGTGGGGGGGGGGGGGGGGGCTAGTCTTGGACTGGAATGGGGGTCCTTGTGAAAAAAGACCGGGAACCACAGTTCTATTCTTTGTCATTTCGCAGCTTGAAAATCTGTAAATCTGAAATAATTTATTCAGAAAATATAATCAAGTTAAATTAGTTTGAAACATCTTCCTTACAGTTTCTGGTTTAATGAAACTCCTGGTCTCAGGTTCCCAGAATGCAGTGCACTGAGCAGCATCACAGTGATTTGTGGTTTCATCTCCTGATCTGCAGAACTAAGTCTAGCCCGCCCCTCATTTGCCTCTCTGCCTGTGAGTTACCAGACTCTTTCTCTGTGCAGAATTAGAGGACGAGTCTGGCAGGCCAGGCTATAAATGTGCCTCACCAAAAAGAAAAATCACCCGCCACTAGTGATGCACCGATGTGAAATTTTTGGGCCGATACCGATATCCAATAATAAGGTCACTGTTATGGCAGATTACCAATATTTGCCGATACTGATATACTAACATTATTGCTTTTAAAATCATCAGATTTTGTATAGAAATAAATGATTAAAGCTGAATTTACGTTATTGGTCAGATTTCATAAAACACACACATTTACGGTTCTGAGATGATTTCATTCACTGTTCACATGACTTACACATCACCCCCCTCACCCTCTGAAACAGGCAAACAAATGGAGACAAGATGGACAAAATATTGGTTGTTAATGTTGGCCCGGTTTTATTTATTAAACCAATACCGATATGTTAAAAAATGACTAACGTCGGCCAATACCGATATTGATTTCAATATATTGTCCATCCCTACCAGCCACCACTGGTTGCTTATGGACTCATTTCTGTGTTTGAAGGAACTTGGATGATGAGCATGACCAATATCTGAACGAAGAACATAATTTAGACAGTTGGCATTTTTGTTTAGAATAATAACAAAATGAAGAAAAAGAACTTCCCAAACAAATGTGAAACACTCTGAAAACATTCTGTATTGAGACATAAAAGCAGCATTAAGAAGCAGACATGTCAGCATTTACTTAAGTTGTTGTGATTTTCTTTACCCAGAAAAATATTCACAATCCGAAAAGCTGCACATTACAAAGGATTCAGAGAAGGATGGATGTCAGGGTGTCAAAACTTTAGCTTTAATATTGTTTACCTTGACTTTTATTTGTACTGTACTTAAATCTGCATTTTGGCCACTATATTACTAAATGTTGAGTATTTAACATCTAATGCATGTCTGCATATTTCAGGGACTCCAGATGGACATTTGCTCAGAGTCATAATTCATTTTTGATCTATGCCACTGTCCATGCTCTGTTTTAATAAATGAAACGTTTGTCCTTGTGTGTTTTGGTCAGATTTCATAAAACACAAAAATATCTTAAGTTAGCTTGGAAAGTTAGTGTACTTATGCACATGCAAAACCCTTTTGACTGCAATACATCTGCAGAAAATATTTAGTTATTTTTGCCTCCTTATGCGTGCCTATTGTGTGATTATATCCAAAGCAGTTGCACCTGGTGGACAATAAAGTTTTTTTAATAACATTTTTTTAATCTAAGCTTAAACAGATGCAAGTTCATGATCTGGAGCTGATGATTGTAATTGACTGTTTGTTGCACATCTCACATAGGTGATGAGCTCCACCCCTATGTGACCCTAAAGAGGATGATACAGGTACACCAAGGTGCTATTGGGCCTCTGATGTAATAATATTTTTATTGCTAAAATATTTAATAGCCTAGATGCATCTTGCAAGGAGTGTTAACAACTAACAAGGTTACCATTTTAAAATGAGAAGAGTGCTTCTGCGAAGACTGGTTTCAACTTCAGCGACTGTGACGGTACGGACACACACGACGCCACGTTGCGTCGACGCAAAGACTGCAGCAAACCCGCACAGGTTAACTGAGACATGCTGAATTTAGTAACTATCTGCCAAAAGCAACAAAAACCAAAGCCTGTGGTCAGGATGACTTCCTTTAAGATCATCAACAGTACTCCCCCCCCCCCCCCAAAAAAAAGTGCCAAAGATATCTTGTGACAGAAATTAAGCAGATTGAATATTTTTCATGGCCAAAGTCAGATGATAAAAATTTATACATCCACGACTAAAGAAGTACAAAAATATTCAGCAAACATTTTACTCGTGGCAGGAAGTTACGGGAAATGTGGGTTTGCAGGTGGTGACTGCATGACGAGGTAGAGGAGAATGAGGGACACGTTTGTCCGTGTTAAAAAGTCTCCGAAATACACAAACACAATGTAAACACACTATCATGGACCAGAGACCATCATAAAGGTGCTGCACCATCTGTTGTCCCTGCAAGAAATTGCTTTATAAAACTCCCCTGGCAAGTCTGAAAGGAAAACATCTGCAAGCATGAGCATGACTCTACAACTAAGCTGACGGAGATGTAGGAATCAGGCTTTAGACCTGATGCTTTGGTCCTAAGTTTGAGTTGTGTGATTGAATGTGATTGCATTATTTGACTTTGACCTTCATGAATTGCAGATGGGTGACAACATTTCAGATTGAGAAAATGGAAATAAATCAAGGTAAGGCAGCACTGTTGCTATAGCAGATTTCATACACAGAAGCAATTCAATGCGCTTTCCAGGTATTAAAATTTGATGTAAGCATAAGGAGGTAGCTCAGGTATTTTGGTGTCTTGCTCAAGAGTGGTGGTAGGATGGAGCAAGCAGCCAGCTTCATCTACAGCAACGAGGGAGTTTCTCTGCTCTATCTTTGTCAAGTAGAAGTTGATCTGAATGGCTAAGGCCCTTCATTTTATCTGTCTGGCTTCCATCCAACCCTTGCCTAACAGGAACCTCCTCCATATGTTGTCGGCTTTTCCTCTGAACAGAGCTGCTGCTCCTCCTCACTGAAAGGAGTCAGTCGAGGTGATCTGGGAACCTGGTGAGGATGGTCTTCTTCTGGAGGTTTTGAGTGGATGGATGGAAGGGTCTGCTGCTGACATCTATCAGATAACCCTGAGTAATGATAAACATGTTTTTCTGGAGCTCCTGTGCTCCGGCATTTTTGTAAACAGATGGAGAACGCGAGCAGCTTGTTTGGTTTACTGGTCCAACAGAACTGTGACTGACATCTGGAAGACACCATAAGATCAGAGACAGCAGAGCATTCCTTTGAGATAAATCTTGTGGTCAAAACCGATCCTGTACTACATGTCAAAGAATTCCAGGTTTAGGCCCTGTCCACACGTAGCCGGGGATCTGCCAAAACGTAGATATTTTTCTACGTTTTGGCCTGTCATCCACACGAAAATTGAGTTTTTTCACACGAAAACGGATCTTTTTAAAAACTCCAGCCAAAGTGAAGATCTGCGTTTTCTCCGTTTTGGGTGTCTGCGTGTGGACAGACAAAACCGGAGTTTTAAGGTTCGCAACGTCACTTTCCGCGACAAAAAATGCTGACATCACGTGTGCGACCTGTGTTTACACTAGCCGACAGCATGGATGCCCTCAGAGCTGCGCTCGCTTTCTCGATTGTCCAAGCGCTTTTTGCTTGTTTGTTTTTGCAAGCGGAATTACTGCTCCTTGCTGTCATGATGGGTGGTAATTTCTTAACCCACATGAAGAATCACTCAGGGATAAGGTAAGAGATGATAATAAAATCTTTATTTTATAAAGAAAACAAAGTAAAAACTGAGGGCGCTGATCCAAACGGGACAGGAAACAAGGCAACTCCGACTCGAAGAACGGTGAGAGTGATTAGAAACTGAGAACCAGGAGATGAATAATCATGAGAGGAACGGGCT